GTCAGTTTCTCTACAATGGTAGACTTGCCAGTGCCAACGTCACCCAAAAGAACTATGTAGGGTGCTTTTCGGAAATTCCAAATCCATGACATGACGGTCAACGCACCTGAAAATTGGGAAAATTTAGAACTTTACTGAAACAAGAACCAAAATGGCATTTCTCTCGGGCAAATGCCTTATTTAAATAGGGGATATTTTGCGGAGTGGATTTTTCCCTTCCTTACTCGATTAATTTTCATGTAAATTACTGGAAGTTTGTATTCACAAACTTTGTTTCGTTTTCCCAAGGACCGGTATATTTTAGGACTAGGGTTGCGTTTCAGTTAACACAAGGGGTTATAACATGCCATATCACACAGTAACAAAATTATATATCCCAGTGTGTTAAAATGGTAAAGCAAAGAATTCAAGATGTGTTTGTAGCAAAATGCCTATCGTTCAAATATCTACACCACCGTCGGCGTACGTGCGTACGTACGTACGTACGTACGTACATACATACGTACATACGTATATACGTACATACGTACATACGTACATACGTACATACGTACATACGTACATACGTACATACGTACATACGTACATACGTACATACGTACATACGTACATACATGAGCTTTGTTTATCCTGGAATTTATAGGTAGCTACAAATAAGCTAATATCTTCGAGAAAGAAAAATCGTGCAATCCTCGAAAACAAACACAAATAGACCCTTTTCATAAATGGCTGCCAATTATAAATTCTTTTGTAAATATCAAAATTGGCCTGACTAACCTCGTTCTTGAGTTGATAATTCAAAAGAATTTTTACTCCCAAACGAGTTTAGTGAGGCTAATTTAAATATATACAAAAGAATTTTAAATTGGCAGCCATTTATGAAAAGGGTCTATACAAGACTTAATTAATGTGTAAATAGGCAAGCAGTGTCACTGTACAAAAAACAATAATCAATGTATTACATAGACAAGCATGGCCATTGTGCAAAGTTCATTTTATCGATAGCATTCTTTAACTATGTCAAAGTTGCCTGCTTTCTGCATTAATCCGGTAATGAGTTCCAAGTCTTAGCAGCTAACTAGCAAAAGGAGTGAAGACCATGCATATTTGATAGTAGATGGCTTGGGTAGACTCAATATATTGATACCACTTAAAGAGTAGGTGATAGAACGAGGAGTAAACAAACGTGGAGTAAACGTGGGTTAAGTTTAGACACTTGTAGCATATCGACAGCATGCTGTGTATACGCTTGTTGTAGAGTGAAGTTTTTCCCGGGTTAGCTAATAGTTGCGGTTTGAGGTCCGAGTGTTTGTCGGTTAAAATAAGCGTAAAATGTGTTTGTTTAGTGATTCTAATTTATCCATATTTCTTGACCCACAAAAATGCCACACTGAAAAACAGTACTCAAGGTGGGGCAGGATGAAACTAAGAGGAAGAGGCGTGTAGTAAGACGTGGAGAGGCGTGGAGGAATATGAAGAATACAATTCATCAGAAATGCCTGAAGTTAGATTAAGGAGACGCGCTAAAATTGTGTCTTACAGTGTAATTGCTAAAGCGGACAATTCAAGATTTTCGTAGTAAATCGAAGAGAGCACATTGGCGAGCA